AGAGAGCTGGCCTGGAAGAGGGGCAACCGGGACAGAATCCGGTGCCCCGACCGGGACTAGAACCCGGGGTGCTGGCACCGCTAGGCGGAGGATTAGCCTAGTGAGCCATGGCGCTGGCCAGAGCCAGATATTCTAGAAAACGTGGTCTTTGTTTCAGAGAGACTTTGCCTTTCCTGCACCACTGGGGTCATGGATGTTTCCAGCTGGTCTCCAGGCTGGTGCAATGGTTTGGGGTTGGTGGATTTTTCCATGTCTAGTTTATGAGTTTGTGTTGGTTAATAAGGAGTCTTGCTGAGACTCAGACCTCCCAAATCAATGGGGTGGGGGTGTTTCAAAGCCCTCAAAATTTGTGAGAATTTTGCTCATATAGTCACGGATGGGAGCTGAATTCCAAATAGAAGGTGAATTTCCTCCTCTCACTCATTAGCAAGGAGGCTCTGGGGAAAAGCTGATCTCCTGAGTTTCACTGCTTCAGCCAGCCCCACTGGGTGCTCAGAGGGGCGAGAATGACTCATCATCAATCATCACCAATAACACCAAACAGCCAATTGCGATGGAACACTTCTGCTGGCAGGTGTGGGGTGGAACTCAAGAACGAGGACGAGAAAACACCTGTCATTCAGGAGTTGCACTGTCATACAGGGAAAATGCCGCAGGTGTCATGAAGTGCTCTATCTCTGATCTGGATTTGGCCAGTCTCGATCTTGCCCAACTCCTGTCTACCTCTAAGCTAGGCATCAAGGGAAGGAGGTAAGAAACGCTACCTAGCAGGTGTTGCTGGGACTGGCTTAATTCAGTCAAGGCTTGACTCAGCAGGGCAGGCTTGATTCAAACCAGGCAGAGATGGAACATCCTAATGACCAGGGTAGACCTGGATGGAAAAGGAGGGCCTTTGACATGACATCCTGCCAAGCAAGGAGGGACCTGCCTTCACCAGAAGAGATGGAGAGAGGCTAGCGCAGGGAGCAAGTACAAGGCAAGCAGGATTGTGGACATGAGGCTTAGGGTCTGTACTGGAAAATGAATGGTATGGGCTGGGCCAGCAGCAGGGGGAGGCTATAGCCAGAGGAGCCCCCAGAGCCTACTGCCAAGTTCTACGTTGTTGTAACAGTGTAGCCAGAGGGACTCCAGGCTGAATCTGGGGCTAAGGGAGCTGGATTCCCATGGGCAGCTTCTATTTCTTTGGCTTGAAGCCTTTCTCTATAGGTAGGACCATCTTGTCAAGAGGCCGGGAGATGAAGGGATGCTGGCTGGGGCAGTGTGTGTGTGTGCACTTCTATTGCAGAGTTTGTCACCGGTGTCCCCACTGTGGGGCTCCAGCCTATGTGGATTTGGGTGTGCTGGAGTGTGTTGCTCCCCCGGATCTGAAGCCAGCCAGCCCTTTTTCATAGGCATAGCACTCTCCCTCCCCCACCTTTCGGACACAGATCCACACCTCGGGGTCCACTGAATTACGGACAAAGGTCTTCAAAGTGCCTATGAGAAACATGGGTTGTGAAAAAACTTTGCAAGGATTCCAAGCCATTTTTTTTTTTAATTTTTCAGCACCAAACCAGACATCCTTTAGTTCCATTTTCCATGATCTTTCTGAAGTGCCTTTGTATTATTATCCTGGCTGTCAAGTGATAACCCATCCCCACCCCCACCCCCCCGGCCTTTTTCTCCCGAACCTGTGACTTCTGAACCCCTCAGAGACCAACCTGTGCCGCGCCAGGCTGGAACAGCAGCGTATGCTCCAGCTGAGAGGAAGCGGGAGCTGCCCGTTCAATATTTGATCAGCGAGGGACACAGGAAGCAACGAGAACAAAACACCCTCCAGGTCTGAGTCACAGGCCCGGACTGTGGCCATGTCAGTCCTAGCCGGTGGGAAGTGGCACTGGGCGATGTTATCTGATCTGGGGCAGAAGCTCTCTGTGCAAAGGTGCTGTGTGCTGGTCGCTTGAACTGCAAACAGCAGAGCCAGAGGACAAAGAGGCTCAAATTTCAGTTTCAGTCCTGGAGAGCTCCCGGGGTCTGCTCTAGGTTGCAAATCTTTGTCCTCAGCCAGAGCTCACAGCCATCAGTGTATCTGAGCAGTTACTTAAACATTTTTTTTAAATTAGAGGCAGAAAGACACAGAGACAGAGGTAGGCAGAGAGAGAGAGAGAGAGAGAGAGAGAGAGAGAGAGAGAGAGGTCCTATCCACTGGTTCATTCCCCAAGTGCCTGCAGCACCCAGAGTTAGACTAAGGCTGAAGCCAGGAGCCAGGAACTCAGTTCAGGTCCCCCATGTGGGTGGTAGGGATCCAATCACAGGAGCCATCACCTGCTGCCTTCACAGGAAGTGGCTCACAACAACTTTTTCTTACCCCTGTGGGCACTGTCCCCAAGTCCTCGCTGCTAGTGCTATGCGCTGCACCCTCACAGCACCAAAACTGTGCTCAGGGAGCAGGCATGGCAACAGAGGTGTACCCAGCTCCTCTGTCTCCTGGCCCCAGCGACCCTCCCCGAGGCTCAGGGCACAAGAGCATGTCGGGGCCCATGTGCCACACTCCCTGTGTGTGGGCAGAATGCCCCAGAGATGCCCATGTCCTCATGTGGCCAAGGGAATTTTGCAGGTGCAGTTGAGCTAAGGACTTGCAATAAAGAGAAGCCCCTGGACTCTGTGAGCCCCAGGTCATCACAGGGGCCCTGTGAGTTGGAGAGGGAAGCATGCTATGCTGCTGGCTTTGAAGGGGGGCAGCCCTGGCCTTGTGCCCAGAAGTGCAGGTCTCCTGGAGCTGCTGCAGAGGGCAAGGCCACCGAGTCTCCCCCGGCAGCCTCCGGAAAGAATGCAGCCCTGCCGCTGCTTGATTTCCAGCCAGGGAGAGCTATTGTAGACTTCTGTTAATAAAAGTTTCTTGATTCATTTGAAAGCCTGAGAGAGGGGAGAGAGGGAGAGAGAGAGAAAGAGGGAGAGAGGGAGAGAGAGAGGGAGAGAAAGAGAGAGGGCAGAGAAAGATGGAGAGAGGGAGAAGAGGGAGAGAGAGAGTGAGAGAGGGAGAGGGAGAGAGAGGGAGAGAGGGGGAGAGGAGAGAGAGGGAGAGAAAGGAGAGAGAGTGAGAGGGAAAGAGAGGGAGAGGGAGAGAGAGAGGGAGAGAGAGGGAGAGAGAGAGAGGGGAGGGGGAGAGTCATCCATTCATTGGTTCATTCCCCAGATGCCCGCAACAGCCAGGGCTGGGGCAGGCTGAAGCCAGGAGCCAGGCACTCCATGTGGGTCTCCCATGTGGGTGATGGGGAGCCAAGAACTCGGGCCATTCTCTGCTGCCTCCCAGGCACATTAGCAAGAAGCTGGATTGGAAGTGAAGGCAGAGGCAGGGCTCGATCCAAAGTACTGGGATATGAGATGCAGACATCCCAAGTGGTGGCTTCGCCCATTGAGCCACAACACCTGCCCCTATTTCATGCTAGGACCTCCAGACCTGTCAGATGATGGATTTATGCTGTTTGAAGCCACTCCATTTGTCACAAGAGCCCCCTGGCTGCCTCAAGTCTACTCTCTCCAGGTTGCATTGTAAAGCCCTTTCCCTCCTTTTTAGCCCTAGGTTGAAAGTTTGCATGTGAATCCACACACTTGCAAACCTCTGCTGCTACTCTTGTTCACTGGTTGTGGGAAGTCATTTTAAAAAGCCCAAGAAAATTGGGGTCAGCATCTAGTATCAGAGCACCAGTTTGAGTCTGGGATGCACCACTTCCCTACAAACTCCCTGATAACGCACCTGAAGAAGCAGCAGAAGATGACCCCTGGGGCCAGCACCGTGGCACAGTAGGTTAATCCTCCGCCTGCAGTGCCAGCATCCCATATGGGAGCTGGTTCTAATCCCAGCTGCTCTTCTTCCAATCCAGCTTTCTGCTATGGCCTGGGAAAGCAGTAGAAGATGGCCCAAGTCCTTAGGCCCCTGCACCTGTGTGGGAGACTGGGAAGAAGCTCCTGGCTCCTGGCTTTAGCCAGGCTCAGCCCCAGCCATTGTGGCCATTTGGGGAGTAAACCAGTACATGACAGACGATTTCTCTCTTTCGTCTCTTCCTATCTCTGTAACTCTGCCTTCCAAATAAATAAATACATCTTTACCAAAAAGCTCAAGAGAATGTGTTAGGAGAAAGCTATGCATGGACTTCAAAATTTTTGCCCCCCAAATAAATGTATCTTTTCATCCCCTTTGATTTTTTTAAGATTTTTAAATTTTATTTATTTGAGAGTTACAGAGGGAGGTAGAAACAGAGAGAGAGGTCTTCCATCCACTGGTTCACTCCCCAGATGGCTGCAATGATCGGAGCTGCACCAATGCCAAGCCAGGAGCCAGGAGCTTCTTCCAGGTCTCCCACGCAGGTGCAGGGGCCCAAGGACTTGGGCCATCTTCTACTGCTTTCCCAGGTCACAGCAGAGAGCTGGATCAGAAGAGGAGCAGCTGGGACTAGAGCCCTTGCCCATATGGGATGCTGGGGCTTCAGGCCAGGGCTTTAACCCACTGCGCCATAGCGCCGGCCCCCATCCCTTTGCCCACTGTCACCTCTAATGTCAGAACAGTAGAGACCCAGAGGATCTTTCAGGATCTCGCAGGGAGCTGTGCTCTGCTGTGTAGCCAGTCATCCAGTTATTCATGATATTCCCTGAAGAAACTTTTCCTGGCGGCTACCACAAGGCTACCTTGTTTCACACTGTATCGGGAGCAGGATGCAGAGACAACACCCAACCCCTCTCTCTCCTCTTGTCTAAGTGCTCTAAGTGATCTTTCTTTCCACAAGCAACTAGGGTACACAGCACCTGTCTGACCATGATGCAAGGGACAGGAACTTCCAGCATGTCTTCCAGTTTGTGTTCAGATCCATCAAGGGTTAATGAGTTCAATGACAGATAAGCTGGCCCCCCATCCCCCAAGGCAAAACAGTGCTGCCCAATGCCTGCTTTACTTAGGATAATATCTCCCCTCTGTTTATCAGCCCCAGCCCAGCCTTCCTGCCTTTGACGCAGGGAGCTGGGGGTTTGAATGAAACCTGTTGGAGGTTCCAATTAAATCTGTGGACAAAGGGCAGGCGCCTAGCATCCTCAGATACAAGGTAGCAATAAATCCGTCAGCACGTCCACGTCCAGAGACCAGAGTTCCCTGGGCTTTGCCAGCAGCTGCCGGCTCCTCTCAGCAAGATAGGCTGTAGGGTAAGGCATTTTTTCCCTCTCTCTCTACAAATTGAAACTCTCCTTGCTACCTGTGCTTCTCACCAGAGGGTTGCATTTATGGAGTTTGCTACTGATTTGTTGGCAATTTCCTGGTTTGGTTGGCGTTGCTTTGTTTAGCCTCTCCCTGTAGTTCTTCCTTCTGCTCCCCACCTTCCTACCTCCACTGCGTCTCTTTTAGTCACTTCCCATTTTCATCCTTATGTATCCTGAGTCAATTCGCATTTGGACGTACCTTATTGACCCAGAGAAATGAAAGGTCTGAAGTAACTGCGGGCATTTTCCTGTTAAAATGTAACTGGGACTGTGTTCCCCAAGGGACCTGGATTACTCGAACTGCGCCATGGCAAGTGTGCGTCTCCTAGCCGTGGGCTTAGCACAGAATAGCTCGGGGCTTGGGCTCCCCTCCAACATATGACACTGACTATTGCACCTAGGTAATAATCACTTGAAATTATTTACTTCTTGTATTATGGAAGTAGCTCATTACAGAGTTTCTGGAAGTTATAGAAAAGGAAAAGGAAGGTATTTTAAGTCATTGGGCACACATCTTTCTGGTCTTCTACAAATGTACACAACTATTTATTTTTTATACCATTGAGGCCAGGCTATACATTGTAATGTCCTTTCCAGCTAACGTTATGTTACAAGTATTTTCTAAGTTGCTAAAATAACCTGAAACACATTTTTTTTACATGTTTCTTTTTTGCTTATAAAATAATTCAACAACTGATAATGTTGAATCAATATAAGTCTTTGGCTGAATTTTCAATCATTTCTTTAGCATAGGCTGTTTGAAGTGGAGTTGCCAAATCAGAGAGCATGCAATTTGGGGGACCTGATATATTTTGTGTTGGTATCCGTATAAATATGACAATGAGTATTGTTGGTACTGCAGCAGAAGCCACATAAAAGAAAGTAAGATTCTTCCCAGAAGCTATTATTCCCTAAAGTTTGACTTCATGCTGACTGATGAGATGGAATCCTACACGGAGCACTAACTATGAAAGTTAGCATTTTACTGATGCAGAATAACTTGCCTTTCGGAGTAGGGCTCTTTTGCTTAAATAAGAGTAGGAGTTCTCCCAGCACCAGAGAGCCAGGGAAAATGATGGCCACACGTTAAAAACTTGGGCTTTCATCCCAATTCACCACTGACTGTAGGATCTAAGACAAGTGCCCTAAGCTCCCAAATCTGTGATTTCCAATCTGTGAGTGGGGAGCTTTGATTTAGGTAAATGTTTTCCTGTGGGTAGCACAAATGCCACCTGAGATATTTTTGGATTGTATGTAGACATAGACCATATGTAATATATATATTACAAATGTATATATATATACATATATAGTTTCTTTTTAACCGATTTCAGTAGTTAAGAAGAATGGGTTTAGGGGAGAAGATGAAGTAAACAAACATACAGGCAGTCCCTAGATACAGCATAAAGCATCAAGGTGGTGGGCAAGTGTCTGACGATCAAGAAACATCCCTAGGTAGGCAATCTGTAGAGTCCGTTTAGTGTTCCTGGTGCAATTCCAGATGTAGACAGCTGGGCAGCAGTGCTTACCTGCAAAGCATTCTGGGAAGCAGGTGGAGTTACTGGGACGTCCCACTGCACTGCATAATGGGCATGGAAAATGGAATTAAAAGGGAAGCTTATTTGGGTGCAAAGCATTTTTGAAAATCATGCATATCAGGGGTCTTCAAAAAGTTTGCAGGTGGGACAAGCATTTGGCCTAATGGTTAAGATGCCCGTAATCCCACATTGGATACCTGGGTTCTGTCCCTGGCTTCATCTCCTGACTCCAGTTTCCTGCTGATGCAGATCCTGGGAGGCGGTGCTGATGGCTCAAGTACATGGGTTCCTGCCACTCACATGGGGGACCTGGAATGAGTTTCCAGCACCTGGCTTCAGCCCCTCCCCATATCCACCCATTGCAGGTATTTGGAGAGTGAACCAGTGGATGGGAACTCTCTTTGTTTCTGAAATAAACAAATAAATATCTTTAAAAAGAAATTGAAGAGTGTGTGTGTGTATATATATATATATTGAAAGAGAGAGAGAGAGAGAGAGAGAGAGAGAGAAAGTCTTCCATCTACTTGTTTACTTTCCAAATGGTTGCAACAGCTAGGTCTGGTCCAGGCCAAAGCCAAAGTCAGGTGCTCCATCAGGGTCTCCCACATGGGTGCAGTGGCCCAAGGACTTGAGCCATCTTCCTCTGCTTTCCTTGGTGCATTAGTAAGGAGCTGGATCAGAAGTGGAGCAACCAGGACTGGAACTGGCATCCATATGGGATGCTGGCATTGCAAGCTGTGGTTTAACCTGCTGAAATTTCATGGAAAATACATATTATATAAAAACAATGAGACATTTAAAAATTTTTTACATTGAAATAAAAATTTTTTGGTCTTTAAAATTTTTATTTTAAAATATTTCAAATCACAGAGAAAAGTAGAAAGAAGAATTCAGTGAGCACACAAAGATTTAACAGTTTTTAACAATTGCCATATTATCTTCCTAAGTAAATACTGTATATACATACAGTATTTTTCTTTAAGCAGGGATATATTTTTTTTTGACAGGCAGAGTGGACAGTGAGAGAGAGAGACAGAGAGAAAGGTCTTCCTTTTGCCGTTGGTTCACCCTCCAATGGCCGCCGCGGCCAGTGCGCTGCGGCCGGCGCACCACGCTGATCCGATGGCAGGAGCCAGGAGCCAGGTGCTTCTCCTGGTCTCCCATGGGGTGCAGGGCCCAAGCACCTGGGCCATCCTCCACTGCACTCCCTGGCAACAGCAGAGAGCTGGCCTGGAAGAGGGGTAACCGGGACAGAATCCGACGCCCCGACTGGGACTAGAACCCGGTGTGCCGGCGCTGCTAGGCGGAGGATTAGCCTAGTGAGCCGTGGCGCCGGCCTAAGCAGGGATATTAATATTATATAATGTGGGATCCATGACAAGGGTTATAAAGTGAGCAAAGGAGGGTATATTATCATGTAACATGTATAATTTAATGAAGACAATATTTATAAACATCTATATAATAAAATGGCATACACACATATATAAGCATTTTTTGGCCTGTAAAATTATATATATTATATATATACACATACACACACACACATATATACCCTTCCACATATGAGAGAAAACACATGGAATTTGTCCTTTGTTTGATTTAACTCTCTTAGCATAATGATCTCAGTTCCATCCACTTTGTTGTAAATGTTGGGATTTCATTTTTTTTGGCTGAGTAATATTCCACCATGTATGTTTACCGTATTTTCTTCATTCAGTCATCAGCTAAGTTGATTCTGTATTTTTGCTAATGTGAATTGGGCTGCTATAAACATCTCAGTACAGGTATCTTATCTACATGCTGACTTCATTTCTTTTGGGTAAATTCCCAGAAGTGGGGTAACTGGGTCACATGGTAGGTCTATTTTTGGGTTTTTGAGGAATTTCCATACTGTCCTCCAGAATGGTTGTACCAATTTGCATTTCCACCAGTAGTGCAGTAGGGTTACTTTTTCTCCACATCCTCACCAGTATTTGTCATTTTTTGATTTTTGGATGATAGCCACTCTAATTGGGGTGAAGTGATAATTTGTAGTAGTTTTAATTTTTATTTGCATTTCCCTGATGGCTAGTGATTTCACGCATCTGTTGTCGTTTTGTATTTCTTCTTTTGAAAAATTCCTGTTCATGTCTTTTGCCCATTTCTTAACTGGATTGTGTTTAGTTGTTGAATTTCTTGAGCTCCTTAAATATTCTGTATATCAGTCCCTTTTTGGGTAATAGTCTGCATGGTTTGCCACTATTTTATCACATTCTGTGAGCTGTTACTTTGCCTTGTTTACTTTGCTGTGCGGAAGCTTCTTAGTTTGAAATAATTCTGTTTGTTTATGTTTTGCTTTTATTGCCTTGCATTTGGGGTCTTAACAGAAAAATCACTGCCTGTGCCAATGTCTTGGTGTGTTTATTCCATGTCTTCCTACCATAGTTTTATAGTTTCAGGTCCTACATTTAGATTGTTATTCCATTTTGAGTTGATTTTCATATAGAGTAGCAGGTAGGGGTGCTGTTCCAGACGTCTGCCTGTGGAAATCCAGTTTTCCCAGTTCCATCTATCGAAGAGACTGTCCTTTCTCCAGGGAATGATTTTAGCACATTTGTCAAAAGTCAGTTTGTGGTAGACATATGGATTTTATTATAGGAAAACTTATCTATAAATTCTATTTTTGTGGGGGAGGGGAGCCCTCATATAAGAAGCAAACAGATCCAGGCAGGGGAATAGTTTCCTAACCCTCCCCATCAACTTGCCACCCTTTGTGCTTTTTATTTTACTAGGGAGTCTCACCCACCTGGGCAGACCTCCTGCTGTTTCGGTACAGCTGCAGAACATCTGTGCCCACCACAGTACCCTCCCTAAGAGCCTGGAGCGGAAGACATACCCCAGCCCAGCCCTCACCATGCTCCGTGCAGTCCTGGGCACACCCCAGAGGTTGCTCAGGGACGGGGTAGCATCCAGGCACCTGGTGCTGGTGGTGGTGTTCGTGGCCCTACTCCTGGACAACATGCTGCTTACTGTGGTGGGTACGTGCAGGGGTCTTTGTGCTGAGGGCTCATTAGCTCGGATCCCAGCGGGCAGTACATATCCTGTTCCATTTCAGCAGTGAGCGCTGGGGAATTTCTCCTTCATGTTCAGAAATGCACAGAAGTTGCTGGGGATTGGAGGAACCTGCGGGAAATGGAGTTTGCAACCAACCTGATGGCTAAATGACTGCAGGGGTTGAAAGAGAAGGCAGTCAGAGAGCATTTGGCCAGACAGGAAGGGTGCCTTGGACCCAGAACTGGGGTCTCCCAACTCTGTCTTCCCAGGGTGTCAGTGACTCCAAGCGGCCTCTGTTGTCGTGTCTCCTTCCACGTTTGCCTTCCCGGCCACTACTCTACTGGGACAGCCGGCTCCTTAAGCCCCGCCTCTGGGGTTCCTTCCCACAGAGTCCTCTTCCTGGTCGATGCTGTCTTCATCCGGATGCTAAGTTCTGCCAGTGCACAGACACAAGCGTGTTCCCCCTCCTGGTTAAGTGCATGCTTTAACGGAAGGAACTTCCTGAGATATGTTGTTAGTCCAGCACAATTTCCATCATTTGTGCTTCTTTGGTTGCTGTCTGTGCTCTCTACAAGTCACCACCAACAAACAGTGAATTAGCAAGTCCTGAATTCACGCTAGAAGAAACCCACATACCTCCACTAGCACATAGACCTCATCTGAAATCCCCAAATCAACCCATCTCAGGATGTCCCACTTATGACTTGCCCAAGGCCGCCTGCTAACAGGTGCGCACAGCAGGAGCTCCTGGCTCCACACCTGGCTCTATGGTCCCCAGCCTCTGGTCATCCTTGTGTGAGGGCTGAAGCAAGAAGGCAGAGCCAGGAGAGGCATCCGCTGAGATGGGCAGATTTTTTTTCCCCTGCTATGTGCAAGCCTACAAAACATGTCGGCTCCCAGGGCGTTAAATTGAGGGTTACGAAGAAAGCTGGCAAGCAGAACAGGAAACCTTACGGAATCCAGGAAGAAGAGTGACCGCTCCGTAGTTGGAGCCTAGGCCCTTTCGGTGATGGGATCTCGGGAGCAGGTGCAGTCTTGCAGGGGGCTTTTACACATTCTTGGGCACTGTGAACCTAGCAGTGGGTAGGGACAGCTGTGCCCAGCCCTTGTCCCTTGTTCTCCTTGCCTTTCAGTGCCCATCGTGCCCACCTTCCTGTACACCACGGAGTTCCAAGGGGTCAACACCTCCCTGCCCCATGGCCGGGCCCTCACCTCGCCTGCCTTTTCTGCCATCTTCTCTTTCTTCGACAACTCCACCGTGGCTGTTGGAGACAGAGGGCCCAAGGCCACAGCACGGACAAACAGCACGTCTGTCACCACCCCCGCTCCAGTTACTGCACCCTTCTCCGCCCGCAATGGCAACTGTTGGCAAGACACGGAGTTCCTGGGGGAAGAGAACCTCCGAGTCGGGGTTCTGTTTGCTTCGAAGGCTCTGATGCAACTTCTGGTTAACCCCTTCGTGGGCCCACTCACTAACAGGCATGTCAGGGGGTTCGGGGCCCCGCGGAGGCCTCAGCACTCAGGAATAAGAGGCCGGGCTGCAGTGTCAGGAGGGCATTGGTGGGGGCTGTTGTGGGGAGGGAACACACCCTTGTCTGGGCCCTAGGAAAGCTGGTTATCCCCAAGGGTAACATGGTACCGAGGAAATATCTTTGGATTTTCTTAGTATACAATCAATATGGAGGAGCAAGGAGAGAGTTGTGAAAAACAGCAGTGTACTTTTTTTTTTTTTTAAGATTTATTTATTTGAAAGGCAGAGTGACACAGAGTGAGGGAAACACACACACACACACATACACACACACACAATCTTCCAACTGCTCACTCATTTTCTAAATGGCCACAACAGCCAAATTTCATTCAGACGGAAGCCAGGATCCCACAACTCTGTCTGGGTCTCCCATGTGGGTGACAGGGGCCCAAAAGTACTTGGACCTTCCTCTGCTGCCTTCCCAGGTGCGTTAACAGGGAGCTGGATAGGAACCGGAGCAGCCAGGACTTGAACTGGCGCTGTGATATGGGGTGCTGGCATCACGGGTGGTGGCTTAGCCTGCTGTGCTGTGTCGCCGGCCCTCTAGAAGTGTGCTCTTTATGTCACTTCAGTGCCCTGGAACATGGCAGGAAGGGGATGAGGGTGTGAATGGGGTGGTTCTGTTGCATGCTAGATCTCCGGCCCCCTTTGGCTACGTTTGGGATTATCCTGCTATTTTAAAGGGACTAGGCTATCTTTTCTGGAATTGGGGATTTGGGCGTGGTCTATGGGTAAATTTGCATGTTTGTCAATGAACTGGTGCTCATTCACGTGTACTCTTCCATCTACCTTAAACTCTAAACAATGCTTTGCCATGAACTCAAATTCACTGCTTTGTTTAAATTGCCACTTACATTGCAAAATGTAGCCCAGCCATATGAATGCATTGTATGAGATTGTATCTTTCTGTTTTGCAATTGTCTTTTAGGATTGGATATCACATTCCCATGTTTGCTGGCTTCGTTATCATGTTTCTCTCCACAGTTAGTAAGTAATTAGCTTCCTCTTTTCTTCCTCTTGCCGTCTGCCTTTGGTTTTTTCATGGGAGTGTGTTGTAGAGAGCAGGGACATTTAGCCCAGAGATAATTTCTGACTCCTTGGGCTGGGATGTTGATTCGAATGTTGTGCAGTCTTTGTGGGGGGCCTGCAACAGCAGTAGCAACTAAACCCATTTGGAATTTGTCTATTCTACTTTAGGAGAATGGATACAACTGAAAAGTGGCAAAGGCCGTTTGTGTATGTGTGTGTGCACCTGTGTCGGTCCATCCCTTATCCCTGAAGCCAGTTGAACACCAGCTTGGCATCTTTGGGAGGCGATCATATTATTTTGATCTGCAAAGGTCAGGGGTAAAATTAACAAAAGAAATGCAAATTGAGGAATAGCACCTGGAAAATTCCAAAAAATCTGCTGCTTTCCATTTAAGGACCTTAAAGTGTTGGAAAGTAACGTTTGCTAAGGCACTAAGAAACAGGCTACCAAGTATTAGCTAAAATGCTCCTAATAAAATAGAAAGAACAGAAAGTGAGAAAAATAAGTCTAGGAACTGACCTTGAGAAATAAAATGAAAGGGAAAATGGGTTGGGGGGAGGGGTGTTGGCATCTGGGGGCTACAGCAGGGGAAGGCTGCCCGTGGGCCCCCCGTGGCCCCTGCTGCCTCTGCTGATTCTCTGTTCCAGCAGTAGTCCTCCTTCTCTGTTGCGGTCTTCTTCCTGCCTTTCTGTCACTTATCTGCTCTCTTTGTTTCTCCCCTCCACTTTTTTATCTGTCCAAGCACAGGGCTGGACTCAGATCCACCTCGTATGCAGCAAGAATTTGTTGCTTTTGGGGCTGGAAGAGCTTGAGGCGTGGAATTCTATGTGAGAACTGCAGCTGCCCTGTGACATTGCCCCTGAATCCAAGAAAACGAGGAGATTCAAGCTAGCGATGTTTATTGAACATTCTAGAAGCTCAGCCCATGCTGGGCAGTAGATTGCAAGACAATAAGATGCCCTGTTTCCTCAAATGAGACCTAAAATCCTTCCATAAAACTGATAGGTGCGCATGTGTGGGTACCGTGCTCACCCTGACCAAGGATTTAAGGTCCCAGATATCCAGGCGTGTGCAGTGGTTGTCCTGGGCAGACCAGACAGTCACTTGCAACCCAAGACCAGGCAGTGTGCGCGTGGATACCAAACGCCTTCACATAAGGCCTTTGCCTGATTCTCTGCCCAGAACTCACAGCTGAAAGCTTTCTCTTATCTATCACACTGCAGGTATTGAAGAACACTTACTGTGTCCTTGATGTAACCTGCGTTGCTGTAACAAGTTGGCTTAATTCAAGCCAAAAGAAAATACATTTAGTGTTCGGGATATCCTATATAACATCATTTAGGGTTCCCCTCCCTTCCTCTTTCCCTCCCCTCCCTCCTCCCCCTTCCTTCCTTCTCCTCTTTTTTTTTTTTTTTTTTTTTTTTTTTTGGACTGGCAAAGTGGACAGTGAGAGAGAGAGAGAGAGAGAGAGAGAAAGGTCTTCCTTTGCCGCTGGTTCACCCTCCAATGGCCGCAGTGGCTGGTGCACCGCACTGCCGATGGCAGGAGCCAGGTACTTATCCTGCACTCCATGGCCACAGCAGAGAGCTGGCCTGGAAGAGGGGCAACTGGGACAGAATCCGGTGCCCCGACCGGGACTAGAACCCGGTGTGCCGGCGCCGCAAGGCGGAGGATTAGCCTAGTGAGCCGCGGCAGCGGCCCCTTTTCCTTTTTTTCAATACAGAGAGGTTACTGACCTCTATCACAATCCTTAAAGCACCCATGCCTAGTGTAATCAGGACCTAAATGGCGACACACAGAGGAAGTTGCTTTGGTCTTCTTAAGAGAAAAGGTGACCAGCCGGCCTGGTTTGCCTGGGATCAAGGGCTTCCCAGGATGTGAGCCTTTCCGTTTTACAACAACGAAGTCCTTGGGGAAACGGAGGTGAGGGGACCACGCATTCCGAAAGGACATGGAAACAGTGGAGTTTGACCCGACTGGCAGCTGAAAGCCTGAGAGGGCACAGACGGCAGGAAGGGGGAGACCACAGCTGTGCTTGTTTGGGTTCAGGAGTGACCTTGTGGAGAGGAGGTGCAGGAGGGGATTGGTACAGCCAGAGACCCCTGGGATTGTGGGTAACGGGATTCAGACACCCTGGGGGAGGTGCCTCCCTCTCTGGGAGACAGGGTTCTGGAGTTGGAGGTTAAGACGTGTCTGGACCTCCCGCCCTTCCCACCACAGCCTGCAATTTAGTTTTTGATGGCATAGTCCTGTTTGGTTCTCAGGGGCACGCGTGTTTGTCTCCAGGAGATGAAACGTCTTCTAGGACATAGACTGAATGTTCCCTTTACCTCGCACCTGCCACAGAGTCTAGCAGAGCTGGGCATTCGCTATTACTTATTAAACACGGCCTCGATTTGGTTAAAAGGGCTGATACACATAAGGGGAAGGAGCTGACTGGAGCGGAGGCGTTATTCTTCACCAAGCTCTTTGGCGTACACCCCGCTTTCTGCCACTCTATTCCAGACAGCCCAGCAGGACTCAGCAATGGCCAAGGCCAGATCTGGGTGTTGCACGTGGAGGATGCAGGAGCACGGTCAAAGGACCATGTCCAGCCCTGGGCTCTGGGCCTCAGGGGTGGCTCAGTTTTTGCTCCTGGGGATTCTCAGGCTCCTTGCTGGTTACAAAGCAGTCATGAGCAAGAGTGGGAGATGAGAGACAACGTCCCAAGCAAGGAGCAGTCACCAGGCACCGTGAAAACATTTACCTAGTGACTCAGCTCTGCCTGGTCGTGGGCATGTGTTCTGGGGGCTGGGGCACCAGGGCTGCGTGCTCACTGGGACTTCCTTGTGCTTCCCTTTGCCTAGTGTTTGCATTTTCTGGCACCTACGCCTTGCTGTTCGTGGCTCGGACTCTTCAAGGCATTGGATCTTCGTTTTCATCTGTTGCAGGTGACTCTGACATCCTCAACACACACACACCTCTCACCACCCTAGACATGATACGATTTACACGAAGAAATTAAGGAGAACATTACCCTATAGGGTAGAGCTCAGGATTCGGAGGCAACATAATTATAGAGTTGCTGGTGGGGCCTGTGGATCCCTAGCCCTGACATCATTCCTCTGATAATACTCAGATGCAAATAGCTCAGGTCAGGACAAGCCCAGACTAAAAACCTGAAGTTGGCTAAGCTTTTATTTAGTGTCACTCCGTGGCCCTTTCTCTGTACCTCTTAACATTTTATAGGAACAGTTATATTACTTTTATTTTTAAAAAAGATTTATTTATTGATTTCAAAAGCAGAAAGAGAGAGAGAGAGAGCTTCTATCTCCTGGATCACTTCCCAAAACATCCTGCAACAGTCAGGGCTGGGCCAGGCCAGTGTCAGGAGCCAGGAACTCCATCCTGGTCTCCCATGTGGGTTGGAAGTTCCCAAGCACTTGGGCCATCTTCCACTGCTTTCCCAGGTGCACTAGCAGGGAGCTGGATTGGAAGTGGAGCAGCCAGGACTTGAACCAGCACCCCTACAGGATACCAGCACTGCAGGTGGCAGCTTGACCTGCTGCATCACCATGCTGGCCCCAGCAGTTATGTTAATACTGCCAGCAATGCCCTCACAGTTCATAGCACCTTGCCAAATACAATATCTCATGCCATCCTATGAAGTGGGTATCTGATGCCATCTTACCGGCTACAGATAAAAACCACTGGCCATGCCCTCCCAGGTACTCGGCTTTTTCGTGCTGTCCCCTGGGAACCCCATTGAACAGAACATTCTCTGTGTTTGTGGTGTTCCTCCGTGGTGCCCTCCCTCGGGCAAATGTGCTGAGAAGTGATAAAACACTGGGAAACGCGGCACTGTTGGACACTGGTGTTCTGTGTCGCCCTTCCCGGAAGCTGTTTGCCCTCCCGCTGCTGCTCTGAACAGCAGTGAGCAGAGTAAGGGTTTGAGGGATCACAGAGGCAGAGTTTGCATTATACTGTGGTCTGAGTCTTGTAAACCCTCCCTCCCCAAACTCCATCTCTAGCCAAGATTGTCACTGAGGCTGTACCAGGGCAGGGACCATGTGTAGACTCCATTCTTCCCCCTTGGTCAGGTCTGGGGATGCTGGCCAGTGTCTACACTGATGACCATGAGAGAGGTCGAGCCATGGGGATCGCCCTGGGTGGCCTGGCTTTGGGAGTTCTGGGTAAGTGGCACCTGGCTGGAGACGGGGGCAAGAAGGCAGGAGACTGCAGACCCTCTGAAGGTGGCTCTGGGAGGCAGGGCGTCCCAAGGTCATGGAGATGGGCATTTTCCTCCCTTCCCTGGTGTGATTGCACACCTTCAGAGCCACCGGGGAGGAAAGGTGACACCACTTTCTCGTTAAGACACTGAGCAGCCCACAAGGGAACGCAGCTTGCTCCCAAGTTCACAGTCACTGCCTGCCGCACCTCTGCTTGCACACACAGCCCATGCTCTTCATACCAAGGTATTTTCTTTGCTCCACTCTGCTACATCCCTTACTGGAGCTATCCTCCCTGCTTCACCCCCACCCCTCAGAGGGGGAATGAGTGCCCCATTATAGACAAGATGATGAGAAAGTTAAGTGGCCACCCCCAGTCACCCGGCTAGGAGATGCAAGAGATGGAGGTGCACATTCAGATTTTCTGTACTCAGTTCTGCTTTGCTCGAGGCGCATCCTCGATGTGGCTTTGCCGAATGGTCCTACAGGCCAGCGGCTTCTGCTGAGTGCTTCCTGCAGGCCGAGCACACTCAGAGGTCGGTGAGAAGCTGCAGACAGCCAGCCCTCCGGGAGCGCTCATGAAGGGTCCACCAATCCAAAGGCTGCTCTGGTTTAGACTCCACCCACCAAAATACCCAACCTCAAACAGTGATGTGTCCTACATCACTCTCAAAAGAATCAGCCAGCTATACCCTCTCCCTCTCAGGCCACTGCTACAAAGTAGCTCCTCGTGTCTCTGGCTGGACTATGGTGAGCCCTGCTGCTTGTCCCCCTTCCTCCACTGGAGGGAGCTCTGGAGCCGGGAGCTGGTGGGGGTTTCTCCCCTGTTATCAAGGGTGAGGCCAAGTGGACTTCTCATCTACCTCCCCCACCTGCAGCCCTGCCCTCCCAAACACTCAGCGCATGGAGGCTCTGCCTTGCTCCCCTGACCGCACTGGCTGCGCTGACATCTCTGTGTGCCCACGTGCTTCGTCCCCACCCGGTTAACAGGCACTTGGCAAAGCTCTTGTGGCTGCCCAGACTTTCTGACTCAAGCCACGGTGCTGACACTGCACCTTGCGTTTGTGATGTTTACTGTCAAACTTTCCACCACCTTCTAATTAACTAGGTCCCCCTGCCCTCCCTGCCCCACACACGCATTTCCTACCTGGGGACATGTGGGCGCCTTGGGGGACGGCCAGCAGGGGCTTCTCCATCTCTCCAGCCCCCACGTGGAGTTCAGCCCCTAACAGGCTCTCAGTGACTGCTCACTGGGGGACCGTGGCTGAAGCCCCCCCAGGCTGCGATCGGCCGTCCCCTCTGGGATGCGTGCTGCTTTGTTCTTCCAGTGGGAGCTCCCTTTGGAAGTGTGATGTATGAGTTTGTCGGGAAGTCTGCCCCCTTCCTCATCTTGGCCTTGCTGGCGCTTCTGGATGGAGGTAAGTCACCAGCACAATCCCCAGGCAGATGGCGGTGCAGGTGAGCTTGGGGACGCACCATGCTGTGGCGTCATCTTGGCTAATGCTGGGTGGGGTGGCTGTGTCTGTGTGGATCAGTGACTTCCTTGTCCTAGAAAAGAAGGAAGCAACTCAGGGAAGCAGATTTCCTCGTGTTATGGTGGTGGTAACGGGGCTGGTATTGGAGCTTCCAGCTCATCAGTGGACAAACTGAATGATTCTCTCTCTCTCTCTCTCTCTCTCTCATCCTTAGCACTCCAGCTGTGCATCTTACGTCCTTCCAAAGTCTCTCCCGAGGTGAGTAGACTTTAAGGTCACTGCTGCGAGAAGTGCAGGTGTAGAGTGGTTGCGTGTGGGGACCCAGTGTGCAGGGAATCCAAGTCAGGGGAAATGAGAACACTGCCTGGACCCCCAGAGAGGCTACAGTTAGGGTGCTGGGGGGGATACTGAGAGCACTTGGCTTGATGTTGGGGAAAAATGGAGAAAAGGCCCTCTGAGAATTCAAAAGAGTCTTTTTTTTTTTTTTTTTGACAGGCAGAGTGGACAGTGAGAGAGAGAGAGAGACAGAGAGAAAGGTCTTCCTTTTGCCGTTGGTTCACCCTCCAATGGCCGCCATGGCTGGCGCACCGTGCTGATCCGATGGCAGGAGCCAGGTGCTTCTCCTGGTCTCCCATGCGGGTGCAGGGCCCAAGCACTTGGGCCATCCTCCACTGCACTCCCTGGCCACAGCAGAGAGCTGGCCTGGAAGAGGGGCAACTGGGACAGAATCCGGCACCCTGACTGGGACTAGAACCCGGTGTGCCGGCGCCACAAGGCGGAGGATTAGCCTAGTAAGCTGCGGCACCAGCCTCGAAAGAGTCTTAGGGAACACACTCACAGGGTACTTCACAGAGGTGGCTGCAAAAGGAATTTAAAGAGAAGTATATTTTGGAGCAAAACCATTTTGAAATCCATCTTCAGAATACATGTTCTTCATGAGATTTGTGAAGATTCTCGCATGCATGGATTTCAAAATTGATTTGCACTGTGATACACTTATCTTTTTTTTTTTTTGAGAGGTAGAGTTACAGCTAGAGAGAGGGGAGAAAGAGAGAGAGAGAGAGAGAGAGAGAGAGAGAGAGAGAGATCTTGCATCCACTGGTTCACTCCCCAGATGACTGCAATGGCCGGAGCTGTGCCAATCTGAAGCCAGGAACCAGGAGCTTCTTCTGGGTCTCCCATGTGGGTACAGGGGCCCAAGGATTTGGGCCATCTTCATAGCAGAGATCTGGATTGGAAGTGGAGCAGCCGGGACTCGAACCAGTGCCCTATGCGATACTGGCACTACAGGTGGTGTGCTTTACCCGCTACGCCACAGTGCCAAATATGTTCTTTTTTTTTTTAAAGTACTGTTGTATTTCCCCAACCCCTCCACATCACGAGGCATTTTGCTGTAAGAAATAGCCATTTCTCTTTCCTTGTCTACTTATACATCACACACACACACACACACACACACACACAATAGGTAAGAGGATACTTGCAAAAGTTTGTGGAAAATGAAATTTAAAGTTTATTTTGGTGCAAAAACATTTTGAAATCCATGCATAGTTTTTTATAAGATGAATTTTTGTAAACTTTCTGCATGGATTTAAAAAACATCTTGCACCAAATAAACAAATAAGCTTATCTTTCAATTCCATTTCTCATGAACTTTTGGAAGTACAGTTGTATTTTATTTATTTCTTATATGTTTATTTATTTATGAGATGCATTTTCCATGTACTTTTGGAGGGACCTTTTATTTATCCACTTACTATCAGCTTGGTTCAGTGACAGAGTGGGTATGCACATTCTCTCCCTCGCTCGCTCGCTCGCTCGCTCTCTCTCATGCACTCATGCCAACCTTCCACTTCTAGCTCAGCTATACAGAACTCCTCCTAGCTTTCCCCAGTCCATATCAGTCCCTGTGTGTTCCCCGTTCCTTTTCTAGTGAGGCTCCTAACTACCCCCAATATCAAGACCTTGATTTACTTGTGCTACCCTACAGCACTTATGATTTATGTATCTATAGTGCCACAAAAAACAACCTGCTAAGATGCACTCAAGGTGTTTGCTGTTCTTTTTTCCTGAGACTTAGGGAACCCAGCCCAAGTGCTACATTCAGCAGTTATCGGCAAGGGCTCCTTTCTCCACCTTTAGGGTCATTGCATCACATGTGATGCACTTAAAATTCGTTTGTGCGCCTTTGTATTTCTTGACCTGTCATTCACATTTTTTTCTTCTAGTCTTGCTATTTCTATTAGGCTGTTGGGACAGGTGCCATGGACTGAGTGGCTTAAACAACAGACACCTGTTTTTCCAAAGTCTGGAGGCTGGAAGCCCAAGACGGAGGCACTGTGAATGGTGGTTTCTGGTGAGGGCTCTCTTTCCTGGTTGCGGATGGCCGCCTTCCCAGCAGCCTTCGCCGGAGTTTTCCTCTGTGTGTGCGCAGAGAGCGGGCTCTGCAGTCCTACCCGATGATGGCTCCACCTTGCTGTATGCCCTCATGTAGTCTCCACCGCCCCTTAAACACCCTATCTGCAAATACCATCCTTTTAGGGGTTTGGGCTTCAGAGTGTGAATCTGGGGGCAGGGACACCGTTCCATAGCTCTGATACATAGCTCTGATACGATGTTATTTTTCGAGTGTGGAGACCAATATCAGCTGAAAGTTAGAATGATCCAGAGGGTCCAGCCAGAGAATGTCCCTCCCTCCACAATGTTTTACCCTCATCTTCCTCACTCCACCACTTGCAGGCAACCAATGTCATTGTTTTATGGTTTGACTTTCCTATGCATTTGTGTTTTCCCCAGGATGGATTGTGCCTGTTTTCTGATTTCCCCTTTTTTCTTGTGTCTGTATCCTTTGCATTTTTCTCTTTTTCTTTTTCTAAAAGACTTATTATTTATTTGAAAGACAGAATAACAGAGAGAGGTAGAGCCAGAGAGAGAGAGAGAGAGAGAGAGAGGTCTTCCATCCACTGGTTCACTCCCCAAATGGCTGCAATGGCCAGAGCTGAGCTGGTCTGAAGCCAGGAGCCAGGAGCTTCCTTTGGGTCTTCCACGCAGGTGCAGGGACCCAAGGACTTGGGCCATCTTCCACTGCTTTCCCAGGACATAGCAGAGAGCTGGATCACAAGTGGAGCAGCAAGGACTCGAACCGGCGCCCATATGGGATGTCGGCACTGCAGGCCAGGCCTTTAACCCTCTGCGCCACAGCGCCGGCCCCTCTTCTCTTTCTCTTGGTTAATTAAATACCCTTTAGGTTACTCCCTATGACTTCCTGGAGTTCCTCCTTATGGTTTTCCCAGCACCATTCTGTGTGGGCCATATTTAACTCCATCTCCTGTGTCTGGGATTTTGGGTGGCTTTTAGGATTTGCCATTACAAATAGTGCTTCAATTAATCCTCTTACATGTATGCATCTTTACAATGTTGGGAATAATCCTTAAAGTACTACCAATAGGATTATTGAATCGCAAGGTTTATTGGAATTCTCTATGTATGCTTTATAATTTACATCATTATATACGGGGCGAGGGCATGGTCTTTAAGTTTCAGGATCTCTGAAAAACCAAATCCACTCCTGTGTGTATGCAGGGAGGGTTCTTCCAAGACAGAGGGTTGTGAATTCTGTAGAGGAGCAGGCTGTGGTGCTGAGAAGATGGAAAACAAGAGAAGTTCCAGCTGCCAAGTCAGGGAGTGCTTTGGACAAGAAGGCATCATTGAACTTGACCTTGAAGAACGCGTAGGGCATGGAGCTATGGAGTTGAGAAAGAAGGGATGACTGGGGGACTGTGGGATGCATGGGAGGGAGGGGGTGGCCGGGTTCAGCTGGGATGAAGGTGTGGCCTAGGGTAGAGCAATGAGAACTGGACGACCAGGCTGGAGTTTCAGCCCGGGGGTTCATTCCTTCTGCTGCTCTGGTGGCATGTGTTCAGAGCCGAGAATTCAGAAGCAGGAGGGGTTTCCTGAACTGGCACCTCCACGCTCACTTTTAGAACCAGGTGCTCATTTTCAGATTCTTCTAGAACAAATATCAGTGCCAGAGAGGCAGAGAAACGGGGCAAGTCCACCTGCTGTCCAATCCTAGCCTTGTTCCCAACTCTCTCCGCCCTGGTCAACAGTCACGAAGAGACAGGGCTCCCACCTGGGCTCTGCTCCAGCTCGCTCTGTGATGCCCAGCACATCAGTCTCCCTGGGCTTGGATTTCTGGCTGTCTCCAGGAAAGGAGCACAGACTGTGGTCTCCAGGGTCCTGCCGCACACCCTCCGACTCCACGAGAAAGGGAGGGACGTGTTTTCGGGACCGATGTAAGATTTTTGTTTGTGTTCACAGAGCACCCAGGGGACTCCACTCTTCATGCTTCTCAGAGACCCTTATATACTGGTGGCTGCAGGTGGGTTGGCCACAGCCTCACTCAGAGCCGGGAGGGGCGGGGCTTCAGGCAACTACGACGCTCACACAGGTGCCTCTCCTCCTCCCCAGGCTCCATCTGCTTTGCCAACATGGGCGTGGCCATGCTGGAACCTACACTGCCCATTTGGATGATGCAGACCATGTGCTCCCCTGAGTGGCAGCTGGGTAAGTAGCTGGCCCCCCACCTGGGCTGGGGCGAGAGCTGGGAGCCATGGGCCCCCTCTCAGGTAATCGAGAAGCATCGAGTCCACGTCATCCATGGCACAAGGGGACAATGTGCTTCTTTCGTAGAGTTACTTTCCAGGTCCACACCCGTGCATCCAGACCAGGGGGAGTGGGCAGCCCCTCGGAGAGTTAGCCTGAGATGGAGCAGGTAGGTGGGTGTGCAGGGAGCTACTGAGAGGTCGTGTACCCAGCCATGTGGTAGAACGATGAGAAATTTCCCATCCAAAGACTTAGGTCTGTGTTTTAGCCCCGTTGATTGGTTGTACAAACTTGTGTGAGTCACTCAAAGTTTCTGAGTGTTGCTTTTTCTCATCTCTCAAGCAGGGATCAACATGCTATCTAGTTCTGGGGTGGGCATTTGGTCTAGCAGTTGAGATACCGGTTCCATATCGAAGTGCCTGGCTCCAATGCCTGGCTCCAGACTTCAGCTTTTGTGCTAATGTGGCCCCTGAGAGGCAGCAGGAATGGCTCAAGTACTTGGATTCCCGCCACCCACGTGAGAGACCTGGATTAAGTTGCAATCTCCCAGCTTTGGACACTGCTGGCATCTGAGGAGTGAATCAGAGGGTAGAAAAATCTGTCGGTCTGCCTTTCTCTTTCTTTTTCTGGCTCTCTGCCTTTCAAATAAATAATCCA